TTAGTTCTCCGTGTCTATGTGTGATTCACTTCTATTCTCAGTGCATTGTGGTCTGAAAAGATTGTTGATACTATTTCTATCTTCCTGATTCTATTGAGTTATGTTTTGTGGCCTAGCAATGGTCTGTAGCACTGTAGCACTGTCCTCCTTTTTGTTCATCGATTTGCTTGAGCAGGCCCAGTAACGTCTCCATTTTGAGACTTATTGTTACTGTTTTTGGCATATTGAATACGTCACGGGTTGCTTGCCAGGCTCAGTAGCTTGCCGGGCTCTCCAAGAGCACATGGTCTATGTTTGAAAATGTTTCGTGTGCACTGGAGAAGAATGTGTATTCTATCTTTTGTGGGTGTAGAGCCCTGTATAGGTCTTTAAGCCCTCTCTCTTCTATTTCTTCCTTCAGAGCCAATGTTTCCTTGCTTAGTTTTGTTCTTGTTGATCTATCCAGAGGTAATAAGGCGATTTTGAAGTCTCCGGCTACTATTGTGTTGCTAGAAATATTCTCTTTAAAATCTGTTAGCAGTTGTTTTACATATTTAGCTGTTCCCTCATTAGGTGCGTATACATTTAAGAGTGTGATTTCTTCCTGTTGTACGTATCCCTTGATGAATAGAAAATGGCCTTCGCTGTCCCTTCGAATCTTTTTCAACTTGAAATTTATATTGTTGGATACTAGTATGGCCACTCCAGCTTTTTTGAGGGAGCTGTTTGCTTGAAGGATTGTTTTTCATCCTTTAACTTTGAGTCTGTGTTTGCTCTGACTGTTGAGATGAGTTTCTTGTAGGCAGCAGAATGTTGGGTTCTGTCTCTGAATCCATTTTGTCACTCTGTATGTCTCAATTGGTGAATTTAGAACATTGACGTTGAGAGAGATTACTGTTATGGGGTTTTGTGTCATCTTTCTCTAAGGGTCTGTTGTTCTTCTGGGATTTGCCATGTCTTACAGTAGCCCCTTTAGTCCTTCTTTTAGGTTTGGTTTTGAGTCTATGAAGTTCCTGAGCTGCTGTTTATCTCGAAAATAATGTACCATTCCTTCGAGATTGAGTGAGAGTTTAGCCGGATAGAATATTCTTGGTGAATCATTCATTTCAGTGAGTTTTTTCGCTCTATCCCACCATAGCCTTCGGGCTTGTAAGGTTTCCTCTGATAGGTATGCTGTGTATCTAAGGGGTGGTCCTTTGTATGTGATTTCCTTCTTTGAGCTTGCTGTTTGCAGTATTGTGTCTCTATCCGCGGCACCCATGATTCTAACTATGATATGTCTTGGAGTGTTTTTGTTAGGGTCTCTTTTAGCTGACATCCTTCTGGCTTCTTGAATCCCAATGGCTGCATTGTCCAGCTCTGGGAACTTTTCAGCAATGATTTGTTTAATCGTGGCTTTTTCACTGGAATTGTTTCCCTGGCCTTCTGGTACTCCAATTTTTCTAATGTTGTTCCTCTTGGAATCATCTCCTAGGACTCTGATTCGCTCTAGAGCTATTTTGAGGTCTCTTGCCATTGTTTGTTGTTGCCTGTTGGCTTGGTGCAGCTGATCTTCCAACTCACTGATTCTGTCTTCAGCTGTGGCCATTCTACTGTTAAGGGCACAGACTGAGTTTTTTATTTCATCTACGGAATCTTTCATTCGTGACATTTCTGTGCATAGGTTTCCAATTTCTGCTCTCATTTCTTCCTGTAATTTCTCGAGTGTTTCTTTCATGTCCTCCTTTAATTTACTGGATATATGTCTCACTGTTTCATTGAGTTCATTGAACATCTTCATTACTTCATATCTGAATTCTTTTTCAGAGAGGTCCCTTAGGTGAGTAGCATCTACTGAGGCTTCTGGACTCTTTTCATCATCCTCCCCTAGTGGTGGGGATTTGTGTTGTTTCTTCATGTTGGTGTGGAGGTTTGGAAACTGAGATGTTACATGAGGTTGCTGGGTATGGGTAAACTACCTGTGGCCAAAATTAGGCCACTCCCACTTTAGAGAAGCCACGCACACTTCTGAAGAGGCCACGCCCCCTATGGGTAACTGGTTTGTGCGAGGGGTACAACCTGGGGAGGAAGGAGACGGGCACAGTTTTGGGGCGACAGGAAAAGGCTCAGTAATGGTGAGCGTCCCAGGGTCCTTAAGGATGCCTGGGGCATATATGCAGAGAAAGCCAAGTCCCGGGTTCAAATGCAAACGGACTCATGAATTTATCTTTGACTCACATTTTGTCTGCCTCTAAAATATAATGCCCAAACTTTAGTGGGCATAAAATAATCACTTGAGGGCTTTGGCAAATTATAGTTTGGAGCCTCTTCTCAAGCCTTTTTGATTAGTATTTCTTAGAGGTAGGCCTGGGGATCCACATTTCACAAATTTTCCAAAAGATTTGGATGCTGAGGGCTGCAGGACCACAGTTGGATAGTAGACCAAGGGTTTCCTAGGAGCATGTCTTAGTCACCTAGATTACCAGTTTCTTCCTAACACCTGATAAATTTTGAGAAATGGATGAATCATAAGTGAAAAGAATCAAGAAAATATGGGGCTGGAATGATAGCACAGCGGGTAGGGAGTTTGCCTTGCACGTGGCCAACTGGGTTCGATTTCCAGTATCCCATATGGTCCCTTTAGCACCTCCAGGAGTAATTCCTGAGTGCAGAGTCAGGAGTAACCCCATTGCACCGCCAGGTATGACCCCCCAAAAAGAATCAAGAAAATAAAAAAAAATTTATATCAAAGAAATTGGATTTCTTTATTTTACATTGGGGAAAATACTATGGGATCATTTGGTCCAAATTTAATCCACTCATGATTTTCTTCCTTCAAATCTCTGCCTATTGGGCTTTCTCCCCCACTTGTCTCATTATGATACCCTGAAACATGAGATTTTAATAAATTATTTTTTTTTTTACTGAATCACTGTGAGATACAGTTACAACGTTGTTCACGATTTGGTTTCAGTTATACAATGTTCCAACCCCATTTCTTCAGTAGTGTACATTTGCCACCACCAATGTTCCTAGTTTCCCTCCTGCCCCCGCCACAAGGCTTCCTCCATGGCCAACTCTGCTGCTGCCTCTTCTTCTTCTTCTTCTTCTTCTTCTTCTTCTTCTTCTTCTTCTTCTTCTTCTTCTTCTTCTTCTTCTTCTTCTTCTTCCTCCTCCTCCTCCTCCTCCTCTTCTTCATCTTCTCTGTCTGTCTCTCTTTCTCTCTCCCCTTTCCTTTTTCCCTTTTAGGCACTAGTTTATTGCAATTAGGCAATAGTTTGCAATAGTATTACTGAGAGTGTATCATGTATTTTATCACTTAACCTCTTTCAGCACTCAGTTCTTGTCCAGAGTGATCATTTCCAACTATCATTGTTATAGTGGTCCCTTCTCCATCCTAACTGCACTCCTCCCTAACCCCCACTTGTGGCAAACTTCCTAACAGGGACCAGTCCTCCTAACCCTCATTTCTACTGTCTTTGTATATTATTCTCATACTATGAAACATGGATTTTTATTTTGCTTTTGACTTTTGGTTTGGGGGGCATATCTTGCTGTGAGAAACTTACTCCTTTTTGGTTCTGTGCTCAGGAATCATTCCTGGCAGTGCCCTGGTGCTGGGGATTTGACTCAGGTTGGCCACGTGTTAAGCAAGCAATATACCCCTATACTATTTTCCCATAGGTCTTAAGTATGGATCTTTGCCTGTGTTCTAGAACAGAGAAAGTAGGGGTGGCACAAATGTCCTGATAGGAGTAGTTAAGAATTCATCAGTGCTCCTCTGTTGCTCTGAGCAACCCCCCTCCAGTCCTTGTTGGGAAAATATCCACAGAACCACATGACAAATATTTATCTTACCTCTCAGCGCTCTAAGCTTCGTAAGAGCTTAGAGCTCTGAGAAGCTTCCATAGGACCTTCCTGCCCCCCTTCCCTACCCAAGACCCCCTCCACCTCCTGCCTCCACTGCATTTGTAGCCCATGTGCGTTGATCTCTGACATTCCTCTTCTTTCTTTCTTTCTTTCTTTCTTTCTTTCTTTCTTTCTTTCTTTCTTTCTCTCTCAGCCCCCCACCTCACCAGGTATTGAACCCAGGGACTTATGGATGCAAAGCATTCACTTTACCACTCAACTACATTCCCAGCCCTCTCTGAGCATCTTCTGGTCTCCACATATCCACACTCCTCTGCCTGCATCTCTCAAACAGCTCAGAAAGGCTGAGGTCTGACTTCCCTGGATGATATTGTCTGATACTACAGCCACACCAGCACCTTCACCCAGTCTACGATCAGTCAGCAGGCAGCACCACCTCAGCCTAGCCAGCTTCCCCTCCCTGCCCCGCCCCAGGTTGGACCGGCAGGCGGCTGGGAGTCTCCCTGCTGCTAAGCTTTTCTACTTCCCTCCCTCTCCCTCCCTGCCTCCCTCCTCCTCCTCCACCCGCCCCTGAGGCAGGGACCTTGCAAATCGAGAAGAGGGGGAACAGACAAGCGGGATGGAATCCAGCTTAGGACCCCCTCGCTCCCCGCTGATGCTCCATCCAGGCTGAGTCTCCTCAGCATCTTGGAACCTGAATTGATGTGAACTGGGGTAGTTCCCAGGTCAGAAGGGTCCCTCCGACCAGCTCATAGAGCTCTCATTTTACATTAGGACCCCCCCCCCCTCGGATGCTCTGAGCCACCCTCCTCAACCCGGATCTAAAACCCGGGACACAGCTATCAGGCCAGCCTCTCTCTCCACCCCACCCCCTCTTTCTGGCGTCCATCCCCTCCCCAACACCACCTCTGCTGCTGCCTCTGGCTGTGAACCTGCACCTTTTCACCAACCTTTCCAGGCTTGGGGAGCGGGGGCGAGCCTGGATGAGAGTCCCCCAACCTGGGGTTCTCCCAGGCCATGGCCCAAGTGCACCCAGGGAGGAGCCCCGGACCCTGAGCATCTGCTAGAGACCTGGCAGAGGCCCGGCGGGGACCGTGTCTTCTGAGGACAAAAGGCGGAGGCCAGCAGGCAGACGGGTGGGGGTGGGTGCGGGGAGGGGCTGGAGAGGGGGCCCGGCGGTCCACGGTTGCTGGCGCCAGCGCTGGCCCCCCCCTCCCAGCTTTGAGGTGCATGAAGATGGGGATGGGAGTGTATAGTAGGGGAAGCACCCGCGCGGGACCCCTACCTGCCAGCTAGCCAGTCACCCCAAGTAGGTGTGTTGCCCACCTGGTATTCTACACCACCCCCCCAGCCCTGTCCAGTGCACCCCGCTGGTGCCTGCTTTCCCCTGGTGTCTTCTATTTAGACCAGACCCACTGTATCCAAGGCAACCATTGCAGGAGTGTCACTTGCTGCTGATCACTGAGGGTCCCATAGTGTGGTCCCGGCTGTGATTGTCCTGGTTGAAACAGCTTGAGCCCCCTCCCTGGATTCAAAGACAGCCCTGCTGAGAAAACTCAGGTAAGCAGTCAGTATTCTGCCACCAAAGAATGCGGGCTGGGGACTTCTCTCCTGTCACTCCATACAAATTTCAACCTCCATCTCTGTTAGCTTGTCTGTCTGTCTCCCCTCCCTCTGTGTTTGTACACGCGCATGCTTATGTGTGTGTGTGTCTGTGTGGGTGTGTGTGTGTGTGCGTGCCTGTGCAAGATCGCACAAAGGCACATGCTTTGTCTCTATCTCTCTCTGTCTCTGTCCTACTCTGTTAATCTCTCTTTCCATCACAAAGACAACCCAAAGAGTCCTCCAGCCAGCCATCCCCATCTTTCCCAATCCCAAATGTCCCATGAGCAAGGGAACCACCACCTGTTTCCCCGCACAGCGCCTGTTTATATCATTGCACTTGTGTCTGTGCTTGAGGCTGTTAATCTTTCATTGTGTGCTGGCCTTGGCATGTCTGGGATCCTGGCTGGCTGTGCTCCCCTCACAAAGCCTGCACCCTGGGCAGGCTCAGACCCTGAGGCTATCTCCTCTCATGCCTCCTTCACTCTCTTCCAGGTTCCTTGGCCTGTGTGTGTCTGTGTCTGTCTGTCTGGATGTTTCTGTGAGCAGGCAGGTAAGTAGACAAGAGAGAGAAGCTGCTCTCAGCACAAACCCCCTGCACTCCTTTTTTCTTTCTACCCTTTATTCTCTGTCTCTCTCCACAGGGAGTACAGACTTTGCTCACTCACTGCTGAAAATTTCCCAGCTAGGGAGAGGGACTGGGGGACTAAAAGGAAGGTGAAGTGGAGAGTAGGAAGCATTCCCAACTCCTTGGTTTCCTGATGGCTTTGTGTGGGCAAGGATCATGCCACACAACAATCTGAAGGGGCCAGACACAACACAGTTGTCCCCACAGTGCAGGTCCCAGCCTCCATCACAGACGGTCTTTGTTTGCTTCAGCTGTCCATGTTGTGTGTGCCAAATTGTATGGTCAGTGGTCCTTGTGTCTCCAAGGACACAAAGGCCTGATATTTGTCCAAAGATTCTCCAGGCACAGTTCCCCCAGCTACTGACTCTGCAACTTGAGTGAAAGTATGCCAATCATTGAACCTTGGTTTTCCCATTTGTCAGAAACTGATGACCCTTGTATCATAGGTGTCTATAGTGACTGAATAAGTTGATCATGTAGTAAAGAATGTGTATAAAGTGGTTCTGAAGAGTATCAGTAGAGCTCGTGGTTAATATTGTCGCTGATCATGATTAGTTTTGTTATTGATTATTTGATGGAAGGTACTTGCTGCTTTTATCCGGGGTCTCTGCTGAGATCTGAATAGGGTAACATCAGTCAAGTGGGGAATAAAATGTAAGGAAGGCAAGGAACAGAAGCAGTCTTGGGTTGTTACTCCTTGTTGTAAAGAATCTTGTCATGGTGGTAGACAGTAGGTAGAACCCTCTGTCCTGGTCCACTCCTTTCTCCACTCCCTGCACATGTGTGTGCTGGTGTGTGTGTTTTGTGTGTGTGCGTGCACACACACACACACACACACACACACTTGAGCCCCTGAAAGCTAGCAGTGGCCTGGCTGGTAGCTTGATACATTCCTGGTCCTGGTGACGTATGCATCTCCATGTTGAGTGGAGACTTGGCAAGAGTTTGGTCTGACCAGTTATCTGTTCTCGGGCACTCAGGCTTGGCGGCCAGCTGCACACTCTAGGTGTAAAGGCAGCTCAGATAGAGAAGGTAACACCAAATAAAGGGTGTTAGGAAGATCTGCCCAGGATGGGAGATGCATGCTGAAAGTATATAGAACGAACATGATTGCCACTCAATTCCTCTTTTGCAAACCACAGCACCCAAAAGGAGAGAGAGAACAAAAGAGAATGCCCTGCCACAGAGGCAGGGTGGGATGGGGGGTGCGAGGGATACTGGGCACTCGATCATTGTATAACTGAAACCCAAGCACAAAAATTTGTAAGTCTACAACTGTACCTCATGGTGTTTCACTAATAAAAATTTTAAAAAATTAAAAAAAAAGAGTTTGGTTTGTAGTCAGTACTTGGCAGGGTTTGAGAACAAGGTTGAATCTTCTGAAATTGCAAGGCTTTGGGTAATCTGGGGTGTGACCCATGCAATAGCCAGACCTATGGAGGATGGCTACCAAGGAATTCCCAACTGTAGTAAGGGGAACAGTGGGTCTACTGGCTGGCTTCCAGGTGTGAAGACATGGTCAAACACTGAGTTGCTGGCTAGAGAATACTCAAGGCCAAAGGAAGGGGATGAGTGAGAAAGAGATGATGTGAAAAATACAGAGATCCTGAATATCATTTCTTTGGGAAAAGAGAGAACTGGGACTTTAGGCTATACAGGAGATTTCTGAAGATCATTTGGCATGGAAGGCAGAAAGTCCAACCTGTGGTTACAGGTTTGTGGACCAAATATGGGTATCTATGTGCAATTGAAAACATGTGGCTGTGTATGCATTTTGTTTCTGTGTCTGTCTGTTCATGGGCATTTGGCTGTGTAAGATTTCATGTATGTGAGTAGGTCACATGTTGATGATTATGATTGTGTGGGTGTCTGAGTAGGCTTGTGTGAGTGCAGGGGTCTGGGTATAGATTTTGCTGTCAGACTCTTGATGATCAAATGGGCGTGTTTGATTCTGAACCTGGGTGAAGATATTTCCTCTGAACCAGTTGGCCTGTTGAATATGTGTGTGTGTGTGTGTGTGTGTGAATGATAGCAATTTTCCCTTAGGCATACATATCTTGTTAAATGTGTATGAGTGTGAAGGTTTTAGAATGTCTGAGTATGTATGTCCAGTTACTAAATACCTAGAGATAACCTGATTGTGTTTATTTTCTTGTGTGCCTATGTGTTCCATTTGAATGTGGGTGCATTTAAATGGTGTGTTTGTAAGGGCATATGCATGTGTCCATGTATATGTGGGAAGTATGGGTAAGAACATGCTTCTCTGTGGGCGTTTCTGTCCTATGTGTGAGTAGTATTGTGTGTGAATGTCCATGTGTCTTCTCCAACATTTTGAATTATGTATGTCTCTGTATGCAAATTTGAATATATATTGTCTGTAGAAGGATCTATGAGTCCATATCTGATTAGTGAAATATTAGTGAAGATGTCATACTGGAAGACATAGTGGAAGTACAAAGAAAACTAATTGTGAAAATGAGGAAGAATGTGTAAATGCCATGTTTTATACATGAAAATGGAATGTATGGGTATGCTTCTGCATGAATATATTATAACTGTGGATAGAATATATGTATATATTTAGGTATTGCATATATATACACATATATATGTATATTCATATCATAAAAGGTTATTTGTAAGTAGGTTAATGAATAGAGGCATACTTTTTTTCTTTTAGAATGTTTATTTTAAGTTGTTGGACATATGCACTGAGCATTCCAGTTACGCAGTTGCAATTAAGTTTAACAAAAAAAACCCTCTGTAACAAAAAATGCATCATATAATGTATTCTCTGACACCGTTGCAAGTCTCATGTAGTATAGATTTGTTGGTTTACAAAACCGCTATCACGTTAGTGATATGCAAGTTCATCACAGAGTGACAGTAAGAGAAAAGTGGCAAAATATACCATTAAAAATTGTCATTGGGGTTGGAGAGATAGTACAGCAGTTAGGGGATTTTCCTCGCATGCGGACCACCCAGGTTCAATCCCCAAAAAGCCGATAGGGTCCCCTGAGCTCCACCAGGAGTGATCTCTGAGCTCAGAGCCAGAAGTAAGCCCTGAAAACCTTTGGGTAAGGCCCAACAAACAAAAAAGACCATAACAAGAAATTGTCATTAAAATATTTAGACTGCTGTTGCTACATAGTCACCAGCTCACCAATGTGTTTTTTTAATAAAAAATTTATTGGATCACCGTGAAATACAGTTACAAGCTTGCATGATTGCATTTCATTTGAACAATGCTCAAGCACCCATCCCTCCACTAGATCACATTTTCTACCACCATTGTTCCCAGTGTCCTACCTGCCACTCCCACCCTACCTCACTCCCTGCCTCTGTGACAGGTACAGTCTTTCTTACTCTCTCGATAGAGGCATACATTTAATTGTGCTTGTGAGTACACATTATTATGAGTTCATGTCAAATTGGGGTATGCATGGGTAGTTGCATTTCATAATACTTGGGTGCACATATCTCAGGTGTTTTGAGTGAATTTCTGAATGTCAGAATGAATGTGGATAGGCCTTTGTGACCAAGTATACATGTGTGACCATATCTACTAGTATATGTGCATATATCTGACTTTGTACATTTGAGTGAATATGTAAGTTTAGTTTTCCATGTTAACATGCAGCTAAGTGTGGTGTGTGAGAATATACTTGTGTGTGTGAGGACTTGATGAATGTCCCAGTTATACAGTTCTAATCATTTGCATATGTGTGCCTGTTTTTATATACCATTTTTTGGAAACTTGTGTTATATATGTACACGCCAGTCTTAGTGTAAAGTGTGTTTGAGTGAGTGTAAGAGAATTCTTTATATATATGATGATTATGAGTGTAATCAATTCTTTTTGTAAAGATACACAAGTGTACGGAAATATCTGAGTGTTCTTCCATGTATGCATGCATATGAATATACATTATATTCAGTGTACATATAGGAATCAATGATGTACACATTTATGTGCATAGGTGTATATGCATAGTGTAATATGTGTTTTAGAATATCTGCATATTAATACGTCTCATTGACAGACATGTATGCCTCTGGATATTTATGTCTATGAGTACACTTGTATGTGAATATGTGTGAATATGCTTATATAGTCATGTCTAGAGGTATGTATATACATTTGTGAACTCATCTTTGTTGTTTAGTCATTGTATTATTGATTGTGATACAGAGTCTACCTATCTGTAGGTATATGTAAGTATGCCTGTGTATACATGTTTGTGAGTAAATATATGTCCGAAACAGTCATGGGAATGTGTGCCATGCATATATGCTTTATGTTTGAAAGGAAATACATATGCAAATGTAGGTCCAAGTGGAGTGTTAATGTGCATTCCTATGAGCGTGCCTAAGTGTAGGAATGAGTACATATATTTTGCTTGTGTCTCTGATGATGCATGTGTGAAAAAGAGAGATGCTTGGCCTTGAGCTTGTGAAGATGCACTTTATCACTGAGGGAGTAATAATGGAGGGTATTTATGAGTCTGTGTGATGCATGTATTTATGTGTAGATACATAGAGAATCCTTGGCACTCCGCTACATTCTTTGTGGCTCTAATTGTGTAGACATCTTATTTTTTAATTTTTTAAATTTTTATTAGTGAGACACCATGAGGTACAGTTGTAGACTTACAAATTTTTGTGCTTGGGTTTCAAATATACAATGATCAAATACCCATCCCTCCACCAGTGCCCATTTCCCACCACCACGGATCCCAGTATCCCTCCCACCCCCTATCCCACCCATCCCACCCTGCCTCTGTGGCAGGGCATTCCCTTTTGTTCTCTCTCTCCTTTTGGGTGTTGTGGTTTGCAAAAGAGGCATTGAGTGGCAATCATGTTTGGTCTATAGTCTACTTTCAGCATGCTTCTCCCATCCTGGGAGGATCCTCCCAACACCCTTT